TTGATCATTCCTGGACCAGCAACACTGACACCACGACCTCTAAAATTCCCATCTCTACCACCATTGCGACCTCCTTTCACACCACAATTACTCCCTCTGGGATAGCTACTTCTACCATGTGAGCCATCTCTACCACCTTTGCTTGTAGCTAGAGCCAACTTCTCTAATATTGGAGAGCTATTTGTATGTGGACTCATAACCCTTCTTACTCTGGAGAAGACTTTTGATAGTGTAGGTATGTCACTGCTACCTAAAATCTGGGCACGCACTACTTCAAATTCAGACCTCAATTCAGAAAGAAAATGTGCCACATCCAACTAATCTTTCTATTGTTTTTGCACTTTGAGATCAATTGAAAGAGGCTGATACGAATCCAACTCATTCTGCAAACTCTTCAAGCAAGCATAGTACTCTTCTACACTCCTATCACCTTGCTGTAGTTGAAAATACTCTTGATACAATTGATAGATTCTAGTTACATTGTATTGTTCAGAACACAACTGCTTAGCATGTTCCCAAATTTCTTTCGCAGTATCAAAGAACATCATGTTCACACTGATATGAGGTTCCATACTGTTCCAAAGACATGTCATAATTTGTGCATTCTCCTGGATCCAATCATTATACCCTGCAGCTCCTGGGTCTGGTTTGTTTTCTTTAATATATTTTAACTTTCCTCTCGCCATCAAATTTACCTCCACCGACTTTACCCATGATACGTAGTCGGTACCATTAAGTTTAACCGAAGTCATTTGTACAGCCACGAAATCAGGTTGTACCATCACACTTGTTTTGTATTCACTGCCAGAAGCTGCCATCAATTAGTTTTGCACCACTCTCCCAAGACGAAGACCTTCCTGACTCAACAACAGCACTCAACCGACTTATCTAATGGTTCTGAAACTTCAACAGCATAGTCGCAACTCCTAAACCTGGAACATCAGTAAAGGAACTCCTTCCACGAGTCAACTAACCTCACAGTTCACAGAGAACTACCCACCAAACACATCACCCACATACATCAATCAACCGAACTTCACATTCACAATTCCTCTTCGATCTGTGGAGTAGAGAGGATCTAAAACACCATCAAACAATCAACCAACAAAGCAACTTGAGGCATAGAAGCTCCTAACCTTTTGGGCAATTAGTCCTTTTTGGTTCTTCCCTTTCCTTTCTTCTTGTATTAGTAGAAAACTTCAGCCAAACCAGTTCCAGGCATCCTTCACTGATGCAGTCGAGAAAACCAATCAACCAGGCTCTAATACCATGTTATCAGGCTTGTATTTAATTAAATAAATAAAAAGAAGCTTCTGATATGAGCCTAGAAGAGGAAGAGATGGAGAAGAAGAAGTCGAACAAAATAGGGCTTCACAGTTTCATACGAAAGAGAGAACTACCACCCTGTATGTTTAATCCATAATGAAAAGTGAAATTACAATACTACCCCTATATACAAATGCTTGAGAATAAAGACAAAAAACACTGATTTAAAGAAGACAAAAGACTAAAATAACCCTAGAACAAAGTTGTATTTTAACAAGCCTCATCCGAATGACCCTTGGGTGATTGACTTGGGTGCCTTTGAACATATGACAAACAATTCCTCCTATCTCTCATCTTATCATCTTGGTTTTGGGCAAGATAAAGTTAGAGTGGCTGATGGTTCTCTTTCCCTTATTCATGAAAAAAGGGATATCCAACTTGGAAAGGATCTTCCTCTTAAATCTGTTTTGCATGTTCCAAACTTTACTGCAAATTTGCTTTCAATTTCTAAAATCACCAAAGACTTGGATTGTATTGTCACCTTTTTCCCCACACATTGTGTTTTCCAGGATCAGTTGACGAGGCAACCGATTGGGAGTGGTCATGAGGCTGGTGGTCTCTACTACCTCAATGAAGATATCAGTTCAGCTCATCAAGCTTCAACAAGTCACATTGGGGAATGCAAGGAGTCTAGTGCTACTATCTATCTTAAGCATGCTAGATTTGGTCATTTATCTTTTACTTTGTTAAGAGTCTTGTTTCCATAGTTGTTTCAAAATGTGTCAATTGAGAGTCTATTTTGTGAAGTGTGTCAGTTGTCTAAACATTGTAGAACAAGTTATCCCAGCTCTAGTAATGAAGTTAATGTTCCTTCTTATTTGGTTCATTCCGATGTGTGGGGTCCTTCACCCATTACTTCTATGGATGGTTATTGTTACTTTATCAGTTTTATTGACCACTTTACAAGATGTATTTGGATTTACTTGATGAAAGGAAGAGAGGAAGTACCTAGAATCACCACGGTTTTCTATAAAATGGATGAAACTCAGTTTGGGAAAAAGATTAAACAATTTCATTCTGATAATGCAAGAGAATACTTCAAGAATTCTCTAAATGTGTTTTTTGAAGATGAGGGAACATTACATCAGTCCTCTTGCAGCTTCACTCCACAACAGAATGGAGTTGTTGAGAGGAAAAATAGACATGTACTAGAAACTACTCGTGCTCTCTTGTTTCAAAACAAGGTGCCAAAGAAATTCTAGTCTCATACTGTTCTCACTGCATTTTATCTCATAAACAGGATGCCATCTAGAGTTTTGGGTATGAAGGCTCCTTTTTCTCTTTTGTGTCCAGATCAACCTGCCTTTTCCTTACCCCCAAAGGTCTTTGGTTGTGTGTGTTTCATTCATATCAAGGATCCTAAAAGGACAAAGCTGGATCCAAAGGCAATCTGGGGGGGGGTGTTTTTAGGCTATTCTCCTACACAAAAGGGATACAAGTGTCTAGATCCAATTACTGGGAGGAAGTTCATTACAAAAGACATCACCTTTCATGAGTCTCAGTCATTTTTTGACCCTCCTTAGAATCCTCTTCAGGGGGAGACTAATGGGGTGGAAGAGACTTCCTCGGGGGTTAATCCTCTTGTTCTTGCTCCTACTCCTCTTCCAATTGCTCTCTTTATCCAGTTCCTTTTGAACCTACTGAGTTTGCTTGCCCAGTTGATGAAGAAGTCACTGCTCCTAACCATTGTGATGAAGAAGCCAAAGAAGCAACTGGTCCTAACCATTGTGATGTGTTTATCAAAGGAAAAGAAAGAGAGACTTGCTAGTTCATGATTGCAACCAATTGGATGATCCTGAAGCCAGTCAAGGTATGGTTCCTCCCACTACATCCACTAGTCTTGATCCTGATCTTCCCGTAACTTTGCGGAAACCAGTTCAATCCTGCACTCTCCATCCTATAAATAGATTTGTCTCGTATTCTCATTTGTCCCTTACCTATCACTCTTTTGTTTGTGCATTGTCTTTTGTTTCTACTCCTAGGTTCTTAAAGGCTGTTGTTGACCCCAAATGGAAGGAAGCTATGGATGAAGAAATGAGAGCATTATTGAAAGCAAACACTTGGGAGCTAGTGGATCTACCAGATAGGAAGAACACTGTGGGTTTAAGAAATTGTGCAAGGTAATGAAGGAAATAGGGTACAAACAAAGTGGTGCATATCATATATTGTTCTATAAGAGGGATGGTGAGAAGTTGACAACTTTGATTGTCTATGTTGATGATATGGTGGTTACTGGAAATGATGCAAAGGAAATTATGGAATTAAAAGGTTTCTTAGCCTCAAAATTTGAAATCAATGATCTAGGGCATTTGAGATATTTCTTGGGAATAGAAGTGGCTAGATCCAATGAAGGGATTTACATCTGTCAGAGAAATATGCTCTTGACTTGTTGAAGGAGGCTAGAAAGTTAGGAATCAAACCTACCAACACTCCCATAGAGCAAAATCATGGATTGCAAGGAGGTAATGAGGAACCTTACCCTAACAAAGAAAGATATCAATGGTTGGTTGGAAAACTGTTGTATCTATCTCTCACTATACCAGATATTGCATATTCAGTCCATGTAGTTAGCCAATTCATGCATAATCCACAAGTCTCACATATGAAAGCAGTAGAGAGAATCTTGAGATATTCAAGTCATGTCCCGGGAAAGGATTACTATTTAAGAAGCATGACAAAATAGAAGTTGAAGCATTCACAGATGCTGATTCAACTGGATCCCGTGGAGACAGGAGATCTACATCAGGATATTGCACCTTTGTGGGTGGAATCTGGTCACGTGGAGAAGCAAGAAACAGGCTGTTGTGGCAAGATCAAGTGCTGAAGCTGAATACAGAGCCATGGCTCATGGTATTGCTGAACTTCTTTGGCTTCGAATCCTCCTAAAGGAAACGGGGATCGATATAACTGGACCACTCAAGCTCTGTTGTGACAATCAAGCTACAATTAACATTGCAAATGACCTAGTCTAGCATGATAGAACAAAGTATATCGAGATAGATAGACATTTTGTACGTGAAAGGATTGTCTCTGGAGAACCTTGTATTCCCTATATGCCATCAACAAAACTGCTAGCTGATGCTTTCACTAAAGGACTCACAAAATCCAGATTTATGGAGCTGTTATGCAAGCTGGGCATGATAGATATCTATGCTCAGCTTGAGGGGGAGTGTTGTGTAGCATAGCATTGTGGGCTTGGGCCTATTTATGTTATGTCATAACATTTACTTGTGTAACTTCCTTCCTGGGCTAAATGGGCCTGGGCCTACTTTGTTTTTATGCTTTCTTACTGCCTACTAATCAGGGGCATATTTGTCATTGTATCTCTTTCTTATTGCCCTAGTATAAAAGTTATCTTGGAGGGCTGGAGAGAGGGGTTGCCCATTTCTTCTAAACCTCTTTTTCTTTTATTCTCTTCTTCTTCTATAGAACTGAATACAGACAAATACATACAATACAAATTCACAATTCACAAATTATCAAGTGAAAACAAGAATAACAATGAATAAAATGGTATAAATAAAACCACCCAAAAAAATTCATCAGCAAATTACAAATTAAGTCGAAATCAAATGATTTACTTCTTCGATTACTATGACTTAAGGACCTTTTTAAGTTTAAGAGACTTAGAACACAACCAAAAGATCTGAGAATGTTAAGCTACAAAATCTTACTTCAACTTGCTGGCCAGCATGAAGTCTAATCCCACTAGCATCATACATTACCTGTTAAAATTCCACAACAATTAATCCTGACAGCATATCTAAGATAAATGCATGACAGAAAACTTACAAAACAATGGAATTAAGATGAGAGCTAGCAGCAAAAATATGGGGGACCATAAATGGTAGTAATAGTATCTAAAGATTACAATCACAGGATGATGTGAAGTAAGTGATAAAATACAAACCAAGTTCTCTAATTAACAAAAAGCAATGGCTTTATGAAGTGTCCAATCTCAGAAAATAAATCCAGTCCATAAGCACTTTCTGTTGGTGCTATGGATTGCTAGTATTAACTAGAAGGAGCAATTGATTTCATGAACACCAGTTCTATGATCAAACTTGTGAAGGCATAACTATTAAGAGCTTCACACTCTACACACTAGACCAAATGCAGATTGAACAAAAGAAAAATCACTGGGTAATAATGGATAGATTAGTTCGGAGCTTTAACAAGCTCCATGAAAAACAATGGTGAACGAAATCAATTAGATAAAAAATATCAACAAACAAGAATTTATTTGAAATTAGCTTTATGTCGTTTATTAAAACACTTGTTTCAGAGAAATGGGTAACAATTATATGAAATGACCATGTACACATAAAAGAATGAAACACTTGGTTAAAATACATGCAACAGAATGCTTTTTAATGATCAGAAAAAATAATGATCAAGAAACCGGAGATCAAACTAAAATAATACCAACCTAGCTAATTTACTTGACTAAAAGTTCCAAATTTTCAGTTATCTTTTCTTTTGAATTTTCTGTTTTCAACATTCTAATCCAAATCTCCTACAGTAAGAATGGACGGGTCTAGACAAACAGTTATAGCTCATTGAAATATCATGATTATATCTGCCTTCCCTTTGGACTAACCACAGATGCATAACATAACAAACCTAAAACAACCGTGAGCAGGGAATCTGATAAAAATATCTTGAAACAATTTTTGTACTACCAGCTAAGTCGCTACCAGGAAAAAAAATCTAGACACAATTTCCAAACCCCCATGATGAGGGGGAATTTGGCCCTCTAGTGACATCACACACATGGCACTTCCGAACCATTTCTTAACACCTTAGCGCCACATAGGCAATGACTTGCCTTCGCCTAGATGACACCTCGGGCACATCACGTGCTGACGCCACCCAGCTGGTGACCCGCCTGACATGGTGATCGGCTTTTTCAGCATGCGCTTAATCGTCTTCAAATCCTCTGGGATCACATTGCCCCATCGATGGAGCTGATTTCTGCACCACCGCTTTGGTGGCAATCGGATAAGTCCTATCGTTTTACGCATAAACCATCTCGAAGCGTGACAGGCAGGAAAGCCACGTCCTCCTACATCTCGGATGCGCTAAGTGAAGCACATGATTACCTATGCCTATATGGCGCCCCATTGATTAGAAAAGGTATGCGCAAGACCTCTCTTGCTTTCTGACATTTTAACTCTCACAGTACATAATCCATAATTTAAGCATTGCCCACCCCGAGTAAAGCACCCCGGGTACTCTTATGGTTTTCTTGCAGCTCGGCCATTCGACCTATCATCGGAACTGTCCTCCGGAGGCAGCACCAGATAGCCCCATCACCCCATAATCAATAAACTGAATTACTGATTTAAAAAAAAAACTTGAGTACAATTCATGGTTATCTCCAGTAATTCACTATTCTGAAAAGAAAACAAAAAAAACGCATCTCGTATTCTAAATCGATAAATCCATCCATCAAACAAAACATAATGTCCAACACCGGTTTAAGTAAATAATTGGCAATAAAGGTATAATGGCATTCTCATTCCAAGCATGTGACCCAATCTGAAATATTTCAAAAATGAAAAGAATAAGAAGGAAGCAGAGATGGATAATACGAACCGGGTGGCCAAGAGCTTCGGAAATTGGGCGAGAGCGAAGGCTAAGAATGCAGGGAGGAGAGGGAGGTTCACGGGGAGAAGAGAAGATGACGATGACGCCGACTGGGAGTAGGATGACGCATCGGCGGCAGTTGTCAACTTGTCACGGTATCACCTCATCCATGTTCCCCCGCGCAAATCAATCCTAAGGATCGAAATGACCAAACATATTCTCTAACAAGTTACAACAACAATTATCGGAGTCTCTGCGGGATAGAATGACGTCACCCCCTTGCGTGCATGTGCACTCCCCACTCCTCGTTCCTTCTTCTCCCCCTGCGGTGTCTTAACATACTTAATCCATCCAATTCATCTAATTTATATTTTATTTAGGGTTAAATACTTAAACTATCCATATATTTATTAAACATAGAGCTTATGTTTGTATAATCTATATTATTATATATAAAAATGTGAAACTTTTTTCTATTTCTTTGTTGTATAAAAGCTATTTTATACCAGTTTTAATAGCTATTAAAATGCTCATAATTGTATTTTTAGTACATTTCTAATGTTAATGTTGAAAATGTAGCTTCAATTATTAGTTCCCACCTAATTTAATCCCCTCTCATTAACCCTCTTTTTCTCTTATTAAATTAGATATGTATCAATATTTTTAACAATATAAACCTATATGTTTTAAAACTCACTCAAAAACAAAATCATTTTTAATCCAAGTGGTGGCTAAGCAATTCAACCATCCAAATCAAATTGATCAACCTACAGAGTCATAGTTAAGTAATAAAAATAAATATAGAAACTTACAAAAATGTAGAAAAATTTACACATTTATGATATTTTTATTAATCAAATTAAAAAATAAGTGTAATAAACAATAATTAGTTTTATTAGTAACGAAAATGAAATACATAATTTAGAACTTACCAAAATGAAATTATTTTATTGTTTGGTAAAGATCAATAGTTCAAATTTTGGGTCAAACATGTTAACCTTTAATGTCATAAATAAATAATAAAAGTTAATAAAATATAAAATAAAAAATTAAAGAAAAACATAATTTTTCCAAAAAAACATTTAGGCACATGCATAATATCATGTATTTATCATACTAAACAAAAAGTAAGTGTGACATATTAGAATTATTTTTACACACAAAAATACAAAAAAAATATATAAAAAAAATGAACACAACTATAATTCTATATTTTCACTACTATTAAAAATATGAATAAGATTGTGGAACTTTCTTTTGACTAAAATACTCATTTTTGAATTTAGTTCCTATTTAATTGTGAGGTTTAAAATTGTAATTTGAACTACTACTTTTCACCCCATTGCTCTATTTAAATCTTACATTTTTTATAAGTGAAGAAAAAAAGATACACAAAAAAGATTAAATATTACAAAAAGAAGAATCTAACCAAGCAAGTAGGCTTATCAATGATCTTTGAAACTTCACAACTCGATCCGATTATCACATATTTGGATGAGGTGTTTACATAATCGGATTTGGATTTTCAACCCGCATCCAATTAATAATAAAAAACAAAAAATAAAAAAAATACATAAAATTTATAGAAGAATTTGGATGCAGTATTACTATCATTATCATTATCTAGAATTACCACGTGCAATGCACATGCACACTTACTAGTCAGTTAAAGTATCCCCATAGTTTATGATGATGGACAAAACCCTTAAATATTGATAGGAAATATAAAATGACCATGTTTCCCTTCCTTTAAGTAAAGAGGTAAAAATTATGAAACACACCAAAAAAGGTGACCACTACAAATCACAATGAGATTTTCACTAAGATGGAATAGAAAAGAAGCTACAGGGCACACACCCTGCCAACAAAGTGAGGGTGGGCTTGTCTGAAGTAATGTTCATAAAATACTCTTTCATTAGAGAACCATTTCGTATTTGATAATTACTAAGTAGGACAAAATCTTAAGTTGAAATAGAGAAGCTTGTTGTGCTCATATTGTAGCTTTGGTTGAAAAATGGGAAGAAATATAGCCGAATCCAATGCATCCCTTGCTTTTGGATTGAAAAGTTGTGCTTATTAGAGGTCCCATCGAGGATTTGAATTGTTTGACACAGAGGTGAACTGGTGGTGGAAGAAGCGGTGGTGTTGGCAAAAATGTTCCTAGAGGTCGAAAGGAATAGGGAATTGGATATATTGAACACAAATACATGATTTCCCACCGATGTATTAGTGAGTGATCCATAATCTATGAGGTAATTGTCCATAGGAGTACATCCAACAGAAATACATGCCCAAGATATATAACAGGGATGAAACCTAGATAAACAATTTAACTTCGACAATATTCATCATGAAAATAGAGAGAGGAATAAAAAAGATATACAAAAATCGATTTCAAAAGAAAAAAAAAAACTAAATTCTAGGGTTCATAACCACAAACCGAACTAAAACTGAAAACCTTTTTATGACATACAAAATGATAAAGATGGCAACTTTGTAATCGTATGAACTCCCATAGAGAGAGTGCATGGCAAATTCTCCATCACCAACCCAAACAGGAAGATGGACCTGTTTCTTCCTTTTCTGAGGAGAAAAATTTTTGTAGTGATATATTGGCCAAAGCAGTTTGGGCTCGATGTTGAAACTGAGTCATATGTGTTGACTACCAAATTATGAAGCTATAATAGTAAAATAAAAAGCAATCTACAAAGTTGAGGAGATTGGAGTTTTTCGAAAATGTTGGAATGAGCAGTTGCATAATAGACTATCTTGTTGTAGCCTTCATACCAGTCTTCAAGCCATACCTTTTCTCCTCCAAAGCCTACTTTTTTTTTCTTTTTCTTCTTTCCTATTTGAAGAGAAACTGCCACCAAAGGTCCAATGGTATTTTTGACCATAAAGGGTAGTTTAGGCATTCTGAAAAAAATAAAAGTGCCACATTGTTACGGTCTGACACAGGCTTAGCCTTGCCTACGCTTGGCAGGCTTACGTTAGGGATATCACCATCATTTTTGCCCATAAGATTTTTGGGAGAATTGATGTTATCTTTAGGCAGACCACCAAAAGCTTAACGTACTCTTTGAGGAGGGGTGGTCGACCTCCTTGGGTGCCTAACCTTGGCACTCCTAGACCTTCATCCCTTGCGGGGGCGGCCCTGGTTAATAGCTAGCATGGCTACCAGGGTTCCTCATGGGTGCACACATGCTCATGGGGACAGTGTTGGACCGGCACTGCACTACCGACACTCAAGGGAGGCTTGGCATGCGGGCCTGGCTCAAACATGACCCTTCGCCACGCCATCCCCTTGCCCAAGCTGAGTGAGCTACCTCGTTGCCTCTAGCGCACGGGTGTGTTCCGGCCCAAGCAGTTGCCTATCATCATGGCACACAGGTGCCTGTCATCATCGACATACAGGAGACCCATCACATCGGTTCCCAGTCACCTCTCTGGCGCATGGTCGCTTTGCATTATGGTCGTCCCCCTTTAGCACGTAAGCGGCACCTCCCATGGACCGGTCTGAGCCAGCAGAGTGCCCCGACCATTGGACTTGAGGTCATGATCTAGTGCTACTGACTTTGGTGGAGCCATTCCATCGGGCAACTCCTAGCCTCTAAGCGCACAAAGGCTTGTCCTGGCCTACCTTGGCCTGGATGCCGCACGGGTTTCTTTCGCTGTAGAACTACCCCTGTGACAACATGACACCACATGGTAGCGGATATTAACGACGAGTTGATATTCAATGGGTGATTGTGGTCCATTGTCAGAAACCATAGGGGTACTTTTAGTGATCATACAGACAGTAGGGTAAGTTCTTGTCTATTTACTAAACCATAGGGGGAGTTTAAGTATTTAACCCTTTTATTTATATAAATGACAAAAGAGTTTCAAAGACATTTAATAGTAAATAAGTGATTTAGTGGAAGATAGATGTTACAACATTGACTATTGAAGATATGTGATTAAGAATATTTTTACTAAAGAAGAGTAATGATAGATTTTAATAGAGAAAATTAAGACGTGAAAGGGTTTTATGTGGAGAAATAAAAGGAATTTTAATATTTCATATGTGCGAAGGAGAAGGGGGGACTTCGTGTGAGGCTTATGGTGATAAACCTTGGCCTCCAAAACTCTTTATATTGTATATATAGATTGTAAGAACATAGTATGACAAAGCTACAAATGAAGAGTCAAAAATAAAAAACCTAGCCTCCAAATCACCCAAGCATCAAGAAAACCTATGTTGGGATAGTGTATTGGGACCAGATTTGAATGTGATCATGTTGGTAGGGTCTAGTTCCAATTTTTTAGAACCAACCCTCTAAAAGTGAAATTGCATTAAATGTAACAAATCGCAATTAACCTGAGATCTCTATGGAAATCTAACTATTTATATTTTCTTTAAATCATATTTGTAAGAAGTTGATCTTTACGCTTTTGGTTAAAGTTGAATATGAAATTCTCCTTTGTATGTAATGATCCAATTAACTGGAGAAGTCTTTTTAATATACATCACACTGGTCCCACTATTTGTATATAATCTATTAAGCACCAGAAGTTGTAGTTCAATTTCTACTCTATAGGTTTTTCCACTCTAGTGTTTTGAATAACTGTAATTCCAGAGCTCTCTATCCTATGTATAGAGGCAAGTGTATAGGAGGTGTGAAATCCAACAACTATATGGGATAGAGAGTAGAAATTGAAGTGTGTGGAGGCATGAAATCCTAATATGAATTACAGTTATTCAAGTGTGTGGAGGCATGAAATCCAAATCACCCTGTGGTCAAGATTAAAACATCTTTGATATTGTGTTTAGGTCCAACAACTATTCTATAATTGCTCTCAAGTCTCTAAAAATTATCACTTAAGCCCTCTCATGCAAAGATAATTCTAATTCTACCCCTCCACACAACCAAGAGTGTTGCTAAGATTGAAAATTTCTTGAATAAGTCAAACTTGCTCAAAAACACTTATGAAGCAACTATTAGCATATAGTAACTCGGGTATATCAAGGATTTTCTAACTAATTAGGATATTATAGGATAAGCCCAAAAAGTTATCTTATGAGTTCCCCTTGCTACAAGGGCTTTTTCTACACCTATCCAAGGGTGATCTAGGACCATATATAATATTGAAGTCTTAGTGCAACTAGTTTCCTCTACAAGAGTTCTAGTTCAATTAGGATTTCTCACATACTCATCTTGGTGTTACCTAGAGACTTGTATATAATCCATACTCTCATTGTGATTCTATTGCTATAGTCTTGATGCAAACTAGCTTCTTAGTTGTGACACTCTCCTCTTATCCGAGGGTGTAAATGACTTATTAAC